TTCTTATAAATGTCGAACTGTAAACCATCCCCTAAGGTGATCGGCGAAGTTGAGCGACAATCCGAATTTCGTTCAGTTGTCTGCTAATAGTTATGATCAACCAGTGAACAGCGTATATTTGACTAAGTGCTATGCCGCCATGGCACTAAAAGCTATTTTGGGAAAAGGAGAAAGTCCTGGGAAGCTGCGAAATGGCATAAAATACAATTATGGATAATACATCACTGAAAGTACATTTACAAGATATATACAACAAGGAGGTGAAGACTCCTTGGAACGATAGTATGCATTTGCAATGCCCAATGCTAACCATATAGGTCTTAGCATAGAGACTACGACGTCTTCGATGAAAATATGGCTTTGCTCAAACATTGGTGTTGTGTTTTTCATCAAAGCCACCAGACTTTAAGCAAGCAACAAACATGAACAAGGAGTAAGTTCTAGCTTTAATAGAAAACCAGGTAGTTGAGACAAAATTGTGTATAACGGCGTGTAAATAAAGAGAATATCCTGAGGTAGACAAGTGATATTTTAGTGGAAAGCGAATTCAAAGATATGGAAGATTAGAACCCGTGGGACAAGCCAGACTGTAAGATGTCTCACGGATTTCTGTAGGACCCATGAGGAAGCATCTTGACAGGAAGCTAAACAGGCTTGTAGATGGTAGGAGCAAAAGCATTTTTCGTAATTTAGATCTGTAAAACCCTCATTTTTCTGTATGTAGAGCATCTAGCTGAAGAGTTCTGCCATAATTTGATGAATTCATTTAATCCTGCTTTATTAACCCTTGTCACTTGCTTTGATCTCATACTGCATGAATGCTTGCTTTTTGTGCGCTAGGTACAGTTCTTATACCATCTAGTCAGTTTAGTGATAGCATACCGATGTAATTAGCCACTGACCCGACTCGCAAGCCTAACATTTGAGCATATTTAAGCATATGTGCTCACTTACCCATCAGCAGCTGCTATACTTACATAGAGAACCATGCCGTGAATGGCTCTGTAATAGGACCTATCTGTTAGTCTTCCTATGGTTTCAAACCATTCTCTGGCAAATAATCCACAATTACGGCAGCTGATAAAAAGCGCAGACTCCCAGCCCATCACTTAACAATATTGTGACCTCATTTTAAGTCACGACACAGCTTTTAAACCAATAAGCTAAATGCTTTCGCTGAATTTTTAACAACACTCCTCTTTCCTAACCATTGACATCCTCAGCAGCTATGGATCAGAAGTAAGCCGGACCACTTTATCGTCGCGGACTTAAGAGTGTGTAGTGAGGGCATACATATACAGTTCACTTCCAATGAGGTAGGATCATATGGCTATTATTCTATAGAACTTCAGCATAGAGCATCAAAAAACCACCATTTTACACAGACGCATAACGTTATATGGTAGAAATTTGGGTTTGAGTTTCATCTCTGATGTTTACACTCAAACTCCCTTCATCGTTGGATTGATGGTTGTATTCAACAGTATCTACTAAAAATACTGGAAATTTATTTTATCCCACAACGTGCAGGTGAGATTAAATACCCACCGGAAACCGTAGTGATCGCAGGGTATTTGATTGGCAATGTGATTTTGTAGATTCGGCTTGTTCGCATGTGTGCGTAGATAAGCACTGTTCCACCTCACAGACTGTTTGTGAACCTGGATGTCACCAAAATCACACCAGCGAATCTACTAATTAATTGCCACTGAGAATTGGTGAACTATCGACTTTGTTAATCCACTAATTTCGCTGCTCTGAGAAGTCAGTTTGTTACTCTGTTTGAACAACTTCAAGCTCGTTTCTGATTAGTCTAAAGCAGAAATAACACCCATGATTGTCGTGTGACCATCTGTACTGCTGGGCCTGCGTTTTGGATACGCCACTCTGAATCTTTAGGATGGCCCACAGAGTCTGGTGACCAAACTAATGAGGGGTGAATATAATGCTTACAGCTCTTGATGTGGGTAGATTTCTCCCTGGAAATCCGGACTCAGAGATGGCTTAGTGTCTGAACCATTGTCAGGAAACGCATATGTAACTAGAAATCCTTTAGGACCCAATATCCGAATCGGCAGACATCCATACTTCTACGCTAACAGTTGTCAGTCTTACCTGTTCGTTTAAGGCAGTAGTTCCTCTCTTGGCTTAGACATTTGCTTGTTGACAGAAGACCAGAGCAATCTGATCAGAAGTATTGATGTGTATTATACTGGCGTTATATGTAGACCTTTTAGTTTACAGATAGCAACCAACTGAGAGCCACATGGTCAGGCTGCTATGTAATCAACTATATATATTGGCCCACACTTGGTTGATCAATAAATCTTCGTCTTTAAATACCGCTTGCGTTGAAGTCGAGTTGGTTATTGGATACTCAAAACATTATTCTGAGTTCCACAGGAATGTCTTAAGGCTACAAGAAATTTCGCAGTGGCCTTTTATAAGAATCTTTTCTAAAGTTCTTTTAATATCTGTAATATACATGATTATATAATTTACATTATTTGGTTATTTGGACAGATATCTCCAGCGAGGCTTTTGGACAATAAATGTTTTACGACATGGCATGGCTTTGCTGCATATCTCGGTCAATTTTAGTGTCGTTACTCTTAATTATTGTGGTGTAATCACAGGTTGTAGTCTACGCTTTTTAAACGATATTTCGCATTTAAGAATTTTTCTGACTTTCACATTGTCAGGTGAAATATATTCTTGAACTGCATTATATCTGCTGCGCTTTGATCAGAAAATGTTGTTTGATACTGATATCTGAGCAATGTAATGGATTAAGGGAGGCAGTAATTTCGAAAGTTAAACGTATATTAGTGAACGTCTATAAAGTAACGCTGTTGTCTTGTGGGCTACTAACTGAAATCTCGTCATACTCCGGATAAACCAGTTGGAGCCGCTCAAAAATAGATTATGCCAAATAACCGCCATTCGAAACTTCAAACAGTAAATAGTACTATTCCATGTGTGATGAATCTACAAAACGATTTAAAGTATAACAATAATGCTGCCTCATACTTTTGAGTCCTGTCCTTTTACACGGCAAAAACACTGTGGATATGTAGGGCCTTAAAAACATAGTATTATTTGGCTACTCAGATTTTGTGACTGATTAAACAACTCAAAGGAGAGGAACGAGCAGCTGAGTAGGAACTAAACCTTCTTTATGATTTTTTAGGCTTCCTCTGTCTATCGAATGATGAATGCCTCTCCGTTTGTTTGAATGCGTATCCCTCGCTTCACTTACCGTCCGCTGTACTTTCGGAAACAAAGGCTTATTAACACCATTGTTCTTCTACAGTATCATAGATCATCGGCCTTATTTTAAATCCAGTGGTAGAAACGACGAATGGGCTTATGATGGTTAGGTACCTGATTCTCTGCACACAGACGTTTTTACCACATGCGGTTTCAGGAAACGATGGAAGTGGCTGACAACTCAGTTAACGATCTGATAAATTCTCCAGATAGTCCAAAATCATGCTGTCTGAAGAGACGAGTTTGCGATGCTAATTTATATTCGCTTAACGTAATAGGCTGGTTAGTATCAGTCGATGGCACTGAAGGTATGATCAAGAGTAGCCCTTCTCACGTCACTAAATACTGGGCACAAAATAACTGCTGCCTTCACAATGTTTTGACATGCATCTTCTTCCTTCGTACGCTAAAAACTCTTCTTCAGTGTTATTCATACATGATAACTCCAGGTTAGATCACCTCAGCAAATGAACCGAACCTTGAAAGATGTCTTCCAGAAAGTACAATAATCCCGGTTGTGTATAGCAGTTATTTCTGTTTCTGTTCACTCAGTTATCTCGACATCATTCTGAGGGTTTCTATGATCAAAGTTACTTTTCAACAATGACATCCGAAGAAGTTTTAAAACCGTTAAAACTAGTATCATTCAGTATAATACTACCCGACCTAATATATTATCTGCTCTTACTCCAAAGTATCAAATACTCAGAGGCATAATAATTATTTTGGGTGCACACCATTTAAACAGTCTTACCACTAAAAAGCTACAGCCTCCGTAGAACAAACTTACCATTTTTATATAAGTGTTCCTCTCCATCTCTGTTAATCCTAAATACTTAAAACTTTTGTGCCATACAGTACAAAGTGGTACAGTAAAGGCCTTTGTTGAAAAGATCTGAAAGTTTTATAAGCATTTGGCCTGACTTATTTGTTAATTGCCTTCGTAATCCTTGAATGCAGCGTCTAAATTACCCATGATGTGCCACAAATTTCATAAATACTTGGAAATGAGAAAAAACAACGGTCTGATCAGTGGAAATGGACCCACGTGCCATTGTCATTCGATGAATATTTCGATAAAATTAACTTACTAACAGCACAACTTGACTTATAAGTATAATGCGAAATCTTTCAGTGATCAGTGAAGATGAGCACTTGTACTTACAGAAAAATCAATTAAATGCACAATAAAAAGCGTTCTGTCAGACATGCTTTTAAATTTATTTCTATGATGAAACTCCGTATATTATGCTAACACCAGTAATCGGAATATCCCTATTCAGATTGTATGTTAGGGGTAAAATGAGTGGTCTGAAGTAGGATTGGTGATTACGTTCTACCACCACGAAGTATTTTTAAGAGAATTAAACGCAAAGTTCACGAAGTGAGAAATCCGGTCCTCGCATTACATACTTTTCATGTGAGGGAAATACGGCTGGACTTATCCGGCATGTTGGTTGAAATTTCGCTCGGCAAATTTGTTTTGTCAATAGTTTTTAATAAAATTTTGTTGTATGTTTTCTGGATTGATAGCAATTCTCATTTCATGGCTAGTTATGTTGGTGTCTGCGTCATTTAATCTGACTGCGACACACTTAGCATATTGGTTGTAATGATTGGTGTTTCATGCTGAATGCGTCAAAACATCTCTACAATGAAGAAGATGGGGTAGTTGGGGGGTAATGTCATCTACAAAAATAGTTTATTTCTTGTAGAAGCTGCAGCTTTCGACATAGTGTCATTCAATGAAGACTACGTCAAAATGTGGCTATTTTCGTGTGAAGAACAGTACTATTTTACAAAAGAATGCTATCAGTACATGGGAATCACCTATAAATGCCAACAGAACATAAAACCAATGTGTAAACGAACGGCTATGGAACTGCAATCCAACATAACCGACTAACATGGACGAAAATGACCTTTGAGCGTCTCACTCCATCAATGACCTTGAGCATGCGGGATAATTTCAGCCGGGAAATACTAGTTTTCAAAGATGTAAGCACGTGCTCGTCTTCACGCGCGATATCTAAATCAGTTGTTACTTTTGAAAGGTAGGTTGTGTTATCGTGCTGCTAGGTGTTTGTTTAACAAATTTGACCTCTCATTTTGATGAAACGAAGCTTATTTTTACTCAAAGTATCCACACAAGAGCTTCTGACTTCTCTACGTGACTGTTAAGCTCTGTGCTATAGAGAGAACTGTCTATGTAGTTAGAGTAGTGAATACTCACTACTCTTTAGTCGTATTTAGCGTCATGGAAAGTCTCTGGCGACTGTCACAAAGAAAACTTGTTGCGCAATTTTGGAGGAATCAATTAGCATTGTTCATACTGTTAAAATTCTTTCTTGAAATACTTGTCCAGTGTTTGCTATGCGAGGTAGTATATTAACATTTTATAAAGTGTGAATAGTGTTACGCAAATTGATAATCCAGATTCAGATTCGGTTGATAAGGATAGAAGGCTCTTGTGGCCTGTGTTAATCCTTGCAAAATATATCTCTGCAGAGATCTAACTTCTCTTTGAAAGCGTTCAGCGATGGAGCTGTTACTACTGAATCAGGTAAGGAGTTCCAGTCGTTGACCACTCTGTGAGAGAATCTAAATTCTGCAGCGTAAATTTTCTACATGTACCATAGTGTATTACCTTTTGAATCGTGGAGATTGATAGCGTCAATAGTGTCATTTGGATAGTGATGAGACTGAAGGCAATAGCAATAGATAGTTCAGCCAGCCTAGACTGTGGGTTGTGTGTGTGTGTGTGTGTACGGGGAAGTCAATATTTCTGCCAATATCGTGACATTAAAATAGGCAACTGACGGCAATCATCCAAGATTAAGTAACAGATGATTCATCTTGTTTTAAACCTCACCAACACGATAGTTGTGGACTCAAGTATCTGATGTACAGTTTATTCAGAATGGATTGATTATTTTCAGATATTCTAAACAATTAGTTATTGCAACCACAAGCGACTTATGATGAGTTCTACTGTAATATGTATCAGGCGAATGGTTAGATTCTGAAAACCACTGCGGCTTTGTAATTTTTTCCGCGCTTGCAATTTCAATCATTTAATCATATTTTTGTGACACAAGGTCTGGCATGCTTAATACATCTTCCGACTAAAGCTAAAAATTCAGTGATTTTAATTTTTCAAAGCCTTTTCTTCTGAATAGATCTATTATATAGAGCTCATATTACAAAGGTGTTTACAGTTAGAATAAATTAAGCACACAAACCATTCAACTTCCACCTGTTGACAAATATCTTCAGATAATTGCCTGCCAGCCTATAACCACTCAGTATTCACCTCTTGAAGTCAAGTATTATAATATATAAAAAGTCACTTAATATGACCTTATATTTGGATCAACTGAGGTGATAGGACAAGTCATACAAGCTTGGTCACAGTCTGGCTCAACATATTTTACCAGTCAGAGCAGGTGATCAAAAGCTTTATCATGATACAAAGTCTCAGTGTAGTTTCAAATAGTCACTATTATTTTGAACCCTACAAGATACAAGTTTGTATGAAAACTCTCACAGCGTTCTTGTGAAGGTCAATTTTTAACAAACCTTGACTTTGTCTGTGATACTTTAACTTCACCCACAGATACACACATACCGTGAGTTTACTTTTTAGCTACCCGAAAGAAACTGAGGACCTACAAAGCGGTCACTTGTGGTCCACCAATAGTTATTAAAATCGCAATTGTATCAACAACTATCTCCTAGGTTCATGTGTAACACTAGTCTACAGTTCTTATGACTGACGTATGTACACTCATCGGTTAATTTCTTGACATTTTGTATACTTGTCAGGTTTCTTCGCATTTGATTGATTCATTAGTAATTTATAAACACGATGTGAACCGATATAAGAACTTGACGTTTATTAGTACCCCTGTATTGACGCTAGCTAATAAAAATTTTAATAATAGTTTAAAATTATTTTTTTTAGAAATAGAAATATCAGTTCATCGATAATGCGGTGGATCCCCCTTGAAGCAAATCCTAAGGTATGATTTCAGTTAGTGAATAACATTCTATTGTCATTCTATTGATTTAGGTGATGAATGAGGTGAATATAATTTTTGAAATTTAATCAATCTCTCTCTCTCTATCCGATCATGTAGTACATGAATAACCTTGGAGTTGTTGATAGTGTATGGAAATTTACCGATGTATTTAGTTTGGATGATGATATGCTTGCATTTATACCGCAACCAGTCATAAGCCTACTGTTCTTATATCCTTTAGGCAACTCGATTGAAAATGCATCATTAGGCGTTGAGGATAATTCATCTAAGGTTATTTTAATCAAACAAACCGTTGGTAATGCTTGTGGAACTATAGCTATATTGAATGCTATAGCTAATAATCGAGATAAATTGAGTATCAAAGGTAAGTTTTAGTCATATCAGTGTATGTTCTAATCGCCTCTCCTGCAATAAGATTTTCATAGTCTTTGGTGTTTTTTTAAAAATATGGCCTCTTGTCACAAATATGCATACAAAACACTGCATTCTTCATTACTTAACTATCAAGGGTTAGTTTGCAGGGGATTTGATTAGTAGTTACAGGTTTGATCGCGAGTTGGCATAGGTTAGGGAACGGTTGAAAAACCAGGGAGTACTGGACAGCTGTTTCGTTCTAGCTTTGGAGTCTTCAACAGTCGGCACCCATTGGTGTTCCAATCCTGTTGTAACGGAGTATGATATGTTGGCTGCTGTCTAATCTGACTAGAATAAGCCTCCGGTCACGACACTATATTTTCCCACACTTAGGTAGATATGAAAGTTATGAAAGCCATATCACCTATTGTCCCCAGCCATTGCTGTTTACCATCCCAAGGACCCCAACCAGGAAGTCTACATCTCCCTACGTGATTGGCTTAAACCAACCGTTGTGGATTTCATTGACTGATAAAGCCATGTTTTGGTTTGACCACTAGCTCTTTTCTAACCTAATCCTATACCAGTCAGCTAACATTGACCGTCGACGAAGGCGATGACTAGGCATGTGTAACACATGTTCCCTCTTTACCTAGCACTCGACCGATGCCTCACCTCAATATTGCTCACCCTATTATACCATTTAACATGGGAGATAGAATGCATGCACCTATGATCAAAGACAGCTAGCTAAGCTTTTCATGTCTGCCACTCTCAATGTCCATGCCTCGCTCACAACCATAAAGGAGGACGGAGTGACGAAGTGACTGCTGAGTAGTACACACGTCCTTTGGTCGATAACCAGCCGGATATCACGTCCACACCAGAGACGGCGTAAACAATTGGTAATATGGCTCAAAATCGTTGTGAATAGCTGGCGCAGATGCATCCACTCCTTGTAACTTATAATTTCCAAAGAAACTATATTGTTCTTCGTTTTTATTATTATTCTTTTTGCCTTACATCTCTGTTTACTGTTTCTGTTTTGCATTTCTTTTTCCTTTCTTCCTTTGCTTTGTGTGCTAAATTGAGGGAGTGTGGCGACTTGAACTGCTGAACATCTGTGCAAAGTTCAATGTTGAAACCAGTCAGTCAGGAACTACAGTACCATCATTTTTGGTGGGAACGATATCAGTTATTGAGAATAGTGGTGTTATAAACAGACTAAATCGGATTGGTAGAAAAATTAGAATGAATATTAGTAAAATATAATGGCGTTACATGTTTCTATTCCATCTCTTCGATTTCTATTGCTTCTCTACTTGTCTCTAGTATTTTCTCCTAATATCCATCGTTTCTTTTATTCCGGATCTCTACCAGTTGAATGTCAACTCACAATTTGTCTCCATAAATTCACATTACAAACTACTTGTGTATTTGCACCAGTATCATACATTATAATGGAAGTATATATGTATTTTTAAAAATTTTTTTATTGCATGTGTAAAACTTGGGCAATGTGGTAGTAAGTAATTCCATATTAGTTTGTTTATTAGATGTATCACACAGTGAAACAGTATTGTTTACTGGATGACGTTCCGAACAAAAATTATTGTTCATAATCATATCAATTATAATCACACGACTTCGAAACTTGAGTTTTAAACTTTTCTTTGTCCTCTTCTATTTGTCGGAGGGGTAGTAGAATTTTCCAGATATCTGGGACGGGTGTTGAATCATTCCCATTACACGTGTTTTCAGTTGGTTCGATAAACAAAGCTTTTGTTATCAATCTCTCCCTCCACCCTGTGACATTAGATTTCAAAACTGTCATCATATGCCATCCTATTGTATGGTTGTGCGTAACGGCATGTAGTGCTATAGCTGAACTCTTCTCTAGATTTCTTATCTTATTCGGGTCAACCAATCTAGATTTTGCTAAGTTTCTATGTTCAGCTAGTCTGACTGTCCCTGTTCTACTAGTTTGACATATGTATTTGATCTGACAATCATTCCAGCAGGGTATTAGATAAACTAAATTGTTTTGTTTTAAATGCTCCACAGGATCCACTATTTAATCGACAAAGCTTGTTTCTAATTGAGTTTGTGGGTTTGAATGCCACTTTTATTCCTGCCTTGTTAAGAATTCTGCGTAGGGCTTCCGAGGTTCCTTCCTTGTATGGAATTACTACTGATGATTTAGATTCCTTATTGTTGGTGTTGCCATTATCCTGTGCATGTTTGACATGCATATCGTCATTAATATTATTATTATTACTATCACTATCACCACTATTATTATTTATTTTACTTTTACATTTCCCTACATATTTCCTGACTAATTTATCAGGGCAATTATTAAGTTTCAAAGCTTCTCTTATATGCCTCACTTCCTGTCCTGGATTTTCCTTGGTACTACTTAGTTTTTGAGCTTTGTCACCTAAACATTTCACCAATCCTTTTTTTATTGACATAGGATGGGATGATTAAAAGTTCAAATATCTGTTTGAACGTGTGGGTTTCCTGTAAACACTAGTGTTTAACTTCCCAACTTCTTTCCTTTTAATCCTGCAATCTAACATTGGAAGCTCCCCTTCCTGACTTTCAAATTCATAAGTGAATTGAATTGCAGTGGTGTTTATTTTCACGGGAACGCCCAACATTCCCTCTTTACCAGTATTACTACTGACTTAGCGAGGTAAAGAAGTGCGTCAGTGGCTGGGGATCAAACCCAGGACCACATGCGTGGTCGGCAAGTATTCTACCGATGTGCCATCGATGCACATATATGTATGTATGTATGTATGTAATATTTAAATATACTGGTGATCGATCACGTGATTCATTCCTTTCCTGTAGTATAAACCTTTATCTCTGGACCACTCTCTTTGCTGATTTTATTTGTATAGATATATTGTTGGGAACTGCATCAAGTGAAGCCATTGTAGGATGTAAATTCATTGTCCAATGTATTTTATTTACTTAAATTCTCTGCGTTGATTCCTCTTAAACTGTATTAATTCTTTTTTTAAATATTTTTTAGATGGTTCATTTTTAAGCAATGCCTTAGATGGAATTGAAGATATGACACCTGCTGAACGTGGTGCTGTAATGGAAAGTAAAGTAATTGACTTGTGAATTTGTTGACACTTCATTCTATTTTCCTTTTTCCCTAATACCTTGTAGAAGGATCTGTCTATGTTACATGAAAAATCAGCTCTGGAAGGACAGACAAATGTTTGTTTTCATTTTTGTTGTTCTTGTTACACCTCTTTAATTAAATCCTTCATCGATTAGGCACCTGATGCAGAGTCAAAAACAAATTTACACTTTGTCTGTTTTGTTGAACATTGTGGTAGTCTATATGAACTTGGTAAGTAGTGTGTTCCATTTACTGATTTTATACCTTTTGGAAGTTTTTTTATGCTCGTGTTATAGTTTTTGTTGTTTTTAGATAAAGTAATAAGAAGACGTAATTTGTCTGAATTGTGTGTGTAATGTATTTGCGCAACACATTTCCAACAATCTGATCACACACACGGACTTGCCATAGGAATGAATATATATGAAATTAATAAAGAGTTAAGAGGTGAGAAAATAGACTTGGGTCAAGTTAAAAGGGCACATTGAACGTCAAAATAACAATGAAGATCACTAAACCAAATGGCAGAGGTAATAGTACATCTACCCTGGTTGGTATCAATACAAAGTTTACCGAGGAAGGTAGGTTAAGTGTGATGACGAATTGTTGCTTTGATCGCATAAAGGTGGTTTAAACTTTCTAATTGACGGCTAGGGCTTCCACAAACTTTAGGATACGCCCCAAACACGTTTTATAGATAGGTTTAAAAGATCTGTTAACGTCAATTTTATGTCCTGTCTGTATAATATGTTTCGCAATAGAGGAGCTAGGTCTCCTGTTTTCACCATTAATGGGTTCTGAAGATTCCATTTTTTTTCTGGAGCCATTTAGGAATATGCTCTGAAGCCAGCCCTTACTTGCTGGCAGAGATCGATGAATCCTCCCTATGTATGTGTGTCCACACGTACATTCAAATTGGTAAATACAGTGGGATGTGACATCATTTTTCGCATGTTCGAAGGGCTTAGATAGATATATTGACTTCACTTTCTCAATTATTATGATATTAGCTGCACAAAGTTTGTGGAAGTCCTAGCAAGTAGAAAGTTTAAACAATTCGTCATCACATTAAACCTTCCTTGGTAAATTTTGTTTTGATACCAACCAGGGTAGATGTACTATTACCTCTGCCATTTGGTTTAGTGATCTTCATTGTTATTTTGACGTTCAATGTGCCCTTTTAACTTGACCCAAGTCTATTTTCTCACCTCTTAACTCTTTATTAATTTCATATATATTCATTCCTACGGCAAGTCCGTGTGTGTGATCAGATTGTTGGAAATGTGTTGCGCAAATACATTACGCACACGATTCAGACAAATTACGTCTTCTTATTGCTTTATCTGAATTCATAAAGGAAACTAATTGTTTCAAATTTTGTTGTTTTCTAATTATCCCTATACTTTCCCAATGAAACATAGTAGGGGGGGGGGGCTTCAAGCTTTGAGCTGTGAAGTTTCAGTAGCAGTGGTATTTTTTATTTTTAAGGGGTGGTAGAGTTGTAAGTCCCACGCTCCCCCTCCAAAACTTCTTTTTTTGCCGAGCTTATTACCATTGGTATAAGAATAGAACTTGTGCCTTGTGGATCAAATTTATTTTGAGAGTATCACAGTGTTATACAGTAATATTTACTGATGACAACATTTCGAGCACAATTTATCAGTGCTCATAATTATATCAAGGCACTACTCAGACAACTTTCTAACTTCGTTTATATAATTCCATTATTTTTCATCGCTTGATTTGATTGGTAGTAGTATTTTCCATATTTTCGGTTTGCGTGATGAATCATTCCTATTGCATGGGTTGGTTGTAGATTGTTCAATGAACAAAGATTCAGTAATCGACCTCTTTCGCGCTCCACCTACCTAAATTACTTCTTAGAATTTTAACCCTCTCCCACCCACCCTATTGTGTGGTTGTGTGTTAATGCATGCAGCGCAATGCAGTGCTGAGCTTTTTTATAAATTACTTATATTCTCGGGGTCAACCATTCTTATCTTAGCTAAATTCTTATGTTCCGACAGGAAATCTGACTACCCCCGACCTACTAGTTTGACCTATATAGTTGACTCAACTCACAGTCATTGCAAAGTATTTTGCAAATTATATTATTTTGTCTAATTGGGTCAACGTTCAGTATCCTTTAACCTACAGAACTCGTCCCTGAGTGAGTTTGTAGGTTTAAATGCCACTCTAACTCCTTCTGTATAAAGAATCCTACTTAGGGTTTCAGATGTTCTCTCCTTATATGGTATGACAGTAGATGCCTTATATTCTCTCTTATTTATGTTATCATTATTACTTCCCCCATTATTTTTATTTTGACGTTTTCTTCCTAATAAACTTATAAGATAGTTATTTAACACTATTATTACCAGCTAAGCTTGGGTTTTGAGAAGGCGTAGGCTGGGAGGGATCGAACTGCGGATCCCCGACCGAAAGCTGCCACCTTGACGTGGTGGTCGGGCTTGAACACCGCAATGACCCAACGAGCTACACTGGCTGGAACTTATGTTCCTGTAGGTCCTACCATGCCAGAAAGGTTGTTTGGATAGCGGTTAGACAAAAAGCAGTTACCCAATCCAATGCTATGACTCAAACAAAATCACAAAATATCATACCGGATCGGTCGGGGTCCGGATTAACAACGACCGCGCTTCCTACTGCGGTGTCACACGGCAGAAGTGATGAGTATGCCACTGAGACACACCAAATGAAAAAGAACAAACAAAAGCAGGCCTCGTGTGACCGGCCTCAAGCATTTGTCCCCTGGGCTCTGTGGTCACGTGACCAACTTCCACGGTGTAGGCAGCCGGGAAGTAACAATCGCCCTAACAATCCGAACTGTGAATCACTTGTGGTGTGGTTGGCTAGCATTCTACCTTCCCACCACCGATGTATTTTATAATGTTGTAATACTTCTATTCTTTCACGCCTAGCCACGCAAGTGGTCCGGGGTTCGACTCGCGGTTGACACATGCTTAAACCCCATCTACTTTTGCTTGTCGATGGTGAGTCAATAGAAGAAAGGAGGGGGGTCGGGTGTGAGGTTAGCAACACTATCTCGTGTAAATAACACCCCACTGCTACTGAAACGTCAAGGCCTAGTGCCACGCCTTCCTTTTCGAAACGCAAAGAAATATAAAAAAAGCTAACCAGTGCATACATACCTGTTGACACACTTAGTTTGCAAGTCGTATTTTATATAAGCGTCATTGTTGTTACTGTGTAGATACACGCAGCTAAATTATGAATCCACTAACTGATTGATTACTGCATTCTGATTACATCAAATAGGCATTTAACTTATTAGTTTTAAATAAACCGCTTAGAAATTGCGAGGCTGAAAATTAAAATCACTCCAGATGTGTTTCGCTTATTTGGTTTAGCTGTGGCCTTACGCTGGTTATAGACAATGCATGAAAACCCTTTATTTAGTGTGCTTGTTTTCATCTTCTTAGGTATATGATATAGACTAATCTCTAATAAACTTGATACCATTATTTCATAATAATGGTTTCGTCTTTTAGTGTATATATGGTCCTACGACTCGTCAATTTTTTTTAATGCTTACCGTTTCAAATGAACTGTCGTCAAGATTTGACCGAATAGTTCTAAAATATTTGGGCGCCGAGTGAGAAGTAGACATTTGTAAAAAATTATATTTGTAAAATCTCAGCGAAAGTGAAATGAGTAATCCCAACGTTTCCTGCGTTTGGCAATCTCGTCCGAACTTCTTCAGGGAAATTAATCGAAATTAACATTACAGAGGTTTATATATAAAAGGAACATCACTTGTTTTTAAAAACCACTTTGTCCAATCATGAGTCATTCAACAAGTATCAACAAGTATACTAAACAAAATTTTATGAGCTGTGATCAAAATTTGACCTCGGACTTACAAATATTGGTCTACCTTTGTTAAACACTTTAAACAGAGTGTGTATGTGTGTGTGGGTAAACAGTTGTAAAACATTTCTTAACGTTTCCATAAGAAGTAATGGACAGTCGAGAATTTTGACCAAGTATTAATAATTAGTGATACATATGCATTTTTTATTTATTAATAAGAATTTCCTATGCATCAGCTAACATCACGCCTTCATGTCTGTTCAAACTGTTATTATCTAGAATTAGATATAATAGAGAAGATTTGTAGCTCAGGTGGATGATTTTGGTGTGGTTGTGTTCTCTGAGCTGTATGGTTTGGTTGCGAAGCTTTCATTGCTCTACTGAGCAACATCTTCGGCGCATACTTCGATGTGAAGTGAGCTTTTAGAATTCTCTATGAGTTTATTAGTCATCTCTTCTAGTAACCCTGAACGTGATTGGTTGTTTTCGTGTGACATTTCACCCCCTAGTTTGCTTGTCTCGGTGCTGGCTGCTTCTTTGGTCTGAATGTCGTTAGTCATTCCTTCTGCTAACCTTGAACGTGATTGGTTGTTTTTGTGTGACTTCTCACTCTCTAGTTCACATGTTTTGGTGTTGACTGTTTCCTTGACCTGAAGTTTGACTTTGTTTTTGTGTGGATTTCTTCGTATGGATTGGTATATTTTGTCAATCTCTGTGTGTCTATTGATTGCTGATTCATTTGAATACCAGGCCTCTAGGAATTCTCTGGCATTTTTGCAGTTCCCTTTGTCTAAGATTTGAACATTGTCCCAGTCGAATTGGTGCCCGTGGTTGTTTGCATGTAGTGATATGAGGGAGTGTATGTCGTGTCTTTTGACAGCTAGTTTGTGTCCGTGAATGCGAAGACGAAGAGGGCGTCCACTTTGACCAATGTAATGTTTGTCGCAGTCGTTGCAACTTATCTTGTAGATGACGTTAGTTTTGTCTTCTTTTGCCGTTGAGTCCTTTGGTTTACATAGAACTGAGTGTAGTGACTTTGTTGGTTTATGAGCGACATCGATTCCAAAAAGTTTGAATAGTCTTGCAGTGATTTCGGAGATATCTTTTATATATGGTAGGACGACTTTCTTTGTGTTTTCGCTGGTGGCCTTTGATTTGGTTGGTTGAGCTGGGGGTAGATGTCTTTTGATGAAGTTTCGTGGGTATCCATTTCTTTGGAAGACGTCCATAAGATGATTTTCTTCAATTTTCCTCAAGGCGGGAGTGCTGCAATGAGTCCTGGCTCTCTTGAACAATGTACGTATGCAGCTAATTTTGTGTGATGTTGGGTTGTTACTGTTATAATTGAGAATTTGATCCGTGTGCGTTGGTTTTCT